CTGCTCATCCGTGTAATACTTGCAGTATTACACAAGTTTTTTTCAGGGTCAAAGCCATCGTCCGGTTCATGATAATGAATTTCAGTGTCTCCATATGTGTTCAGTTCCAGATCCAGTCCCTCAAAAACTATTAACTTCTGTAACAAATCACTTGCCTCATATCGTCCATGGGTCATGCTTGTTGTTGTTGGTTCCAGAGCTCATCTGCCATCACAGATATCAATATACCTGCACGTTTCACACCGCTTTGGGTCCAGGATTCAGAATGAAGTCAAATAATATATGATCATTACATAAAAGTTTTTCTTTTTGCATTAGTACAAAAAACTACGAGGAGAGAAACCATTCAACATATTAGACTCACAGGAACTGTACAATCAACTACAGACTGATGGACTGACTTGATGTGACAGTTTCAATTTCACGAATCAAATTAATGGGACTTTTAGTATTTGGATCAAGTAGTTTGTGAAAAATAAGGTGTCAGTTAAATTAAGTTACAGCCAATGTGCAATCTGCTGAGGGGGGTTCCCCACTGGTTTATATATCGCTGCCTCTCCTGAATTATTTTTATCCCTTGAGCGGACTGAATTAACCCCCCATTCATACCGCCATTAGGAATGCTAACTAAGCTGGCTGACTGTTTAGCCAACAAGCTCCCAACAGTTAACACATAATGACATTACATTACTGGTAAGTTGTATGTTGCCTATGTTAATTATATAAGAAACACTAAACCTCTGCAGAGGCTTATGGGGGTGCACCACAGCTCCCCTTGCCACTTGTGATGGCTATTGATCGCTATACACAGCCAACACAGTTTTTAAAAATTGACAGTAATTCGCCTTGATCCATGCACAGCTTTCTCCGAATGACACTGACCAAGCACAACTAATCTAGTGAAAAGCAAGCCAGGGTCTGTCAGAGGTTTGTTGTTAAAGGGAGTTTTTCCTTTCCACTGTCGCCAAGTGCTTGTTCAAGGGGGATGTTGGGTATTCAAAAACAAAACAAAAATGTAGTCAGTGCATTTGAATGGTTTATGTTTTTAATGAAATTGAAAAATACTGTAGCTTATAGTGAAGTTGTTCCATACAGAGTCTCAGCCTAACTCATGTGATCAGATGCCTGGGTGAAGGGACTGAGTGATCTGGGGGCCCAGGCAAACTCAAACATGGCACCGCCCTGTACTCTATTTTCACTTTTTTCTACCTGTGAATGTCCTTGGTATTAAGGAGGTGGTTTGTCTGGTGATGAGTGAATTACAAACAATAACCACAGGGGTGCCAATACTGAGCTTATTTGGCAGACGGTGTAGTAGGAGTACGGTGGCCCTGGAGATCAATGAACTGCAACTTGAACAAAAACACATACAAATATACAAAACACTATGAAATTAAGAAAATACTTTCACCAATTTGACAACAGTGCATTTGTACATTTGATTGTCAAATTGGTAAAAGTGTTTTCATAATTTGTTAGTGTATTGTTTATTTGCATGTGTTTCTTCATGTTGCCATGCACTGAGCCCTTGGGGCCACCGTAGAGGAGGGCTGTTTGTCTTTGCAGCCACCTCTCTCAACAAATTTAAATCTTGACAGAGTGCTCTAACCAGAAAAAAAGAGAAAGCCCACCTCCATCTACATAAAAACAATACAGTGCTGTTGCACAGACAGAATTATTGTAAACAAGTTTTACAATGCAGTTATTGAACTCGGATCTTGAGGAAAACACCACTATTGTGCGTCCTGCATATTTTATAAGTGGATTTACTGACATACCTAATATCAAGTATTATTATGTCTTTCTCTCTTTACTTTACATCATTTCAGTGCTGGGAAACACAGTTGTGATGGTAATAATATGCTTGGATCATACTTTGAGAACTCCAAAATATGTTGCAGTTTTTAATCTAGCATTTGCAGACCTGTTGAGTAGCTCTGCTTTGGTGCCGAAAGTTCTTGACATTTTCCTGTTTGACCATCCCTACATCTCCTACGACGACTGCTTTACATTCATGTTTTTCTGCTATGCCTTCCTTTCAATGCAGCCTCTTAATCTGGTTGCACTCTCCTACGACAGACTGATAGCTGTCGGCTTCCCACTGCACTATCAAGTGAAGGTGACCCACAGGGGCATGTTTTCTTTGATTGTGTTTTTCTGGCTCTTTGTTATTATTGTTACGCTCTTTGCAGTTTCCCTTCCCACAAGAATTTCTTTCTGTATGTCTGTTGTTAATAGCTTTTTCTGTGACTATATACTGATGCTAGCATTTGTCTGTAATGATAATATACTTAGCATGGTAATTGATCACTTGATATCAGTACTTAGTCTTTGGCTTCCACTGCTATTTATCTTGTCATGTTATTCATATATTGGCTATGCCTTGTCTAAAGTAGCTGCAGTTCAGGAAAGAGTTAAGGCCTTTAAAACCTGCACATCTCATCTTTCACTGGTGGCAATTTATTTCCTACCAATAATGATCACATTTGCAAATATAGATCCAAATGCCAGACTCATAAACATGTCTCTGACCGCTGTCTTTCCTTCCACGTTGAATCCAATCATTTATGTTCTGCAGACACAAGAAATCAAAGTATCTGTGAAAAGGTTACTAAAAATCAGAAAGCGATCCAGAATCACAGTGAAGAGAATAATAATATGATCATCTGTGTATATTTGGGGCCAAACAGTGAAAGTAAGAACCACATGAGTGAAGCAGCAGCTTCAGTGTGGTACTTTTATAACATCCCAGAAATGTTTCAACAAAAGCATAATACTCAAATAACTAATTTTGGCACAATGTGGTTTATCTCACTGGACCATGTACACCACACAGTAACACTAGGCTTTTCCTTTAATTTGTTGTACTGCAAACAAGTTATTATGATCAAGCACTTTGTCTCTACATATGTTGTTATGGCTGAGTCTACTGTAATAATTGTCATCTTAATCTTTTTGTGCAAAATTTAAAACATGCATTTATATTTCTACAATCACTGCTTAAATAAGGGATTTATTGTGATCAAATGTTTTTTGCTTCTTGATGGTCATTGACACCTTATAGGTGCATTTAAAGAGGAACAAGATCCATCTTGTTTTCCTGTCTAACTGAACACAACTTCACATTAAACCTTTCAAGCTGTTCAGGGACTTTCTGGTTTTTCTTGAAGAATATTTCTGTGAAGCAGCTACAGAAACTTAAATTCTGTGGAGGTGGCATGCTCTTGTTGTGATTGTGCTTGAGTTCCAAAAGTTTACAAGATGAACAAAGCAAAAATGATCAAATATTTGAAAGCAAGGATTGAGCATCATGTTATTTAGGTCAATCTGGAGGCTGTCTTTAAATTTTGTAAATACAGCATACATTAATGTCATTATAGTGGAGCGAGGGGCAGTTATGAAGAGAACAGATTTCAGACAACCTTTCACTGCAGTTTGTATGGATTGTTGTGCTATAGAGTATTTATCAAAGTAGAAACTGATGTTATGACATGGTTTTATTTTAAGTGTGTGGACACACTGTGGTGTGAGTTTGCACTTTTAATAAATTCTGATTTGATTTTAATTTGAAGATGTGCGAAAGAACTGAATCATGTGAGCTGCAACAAGATGGAGTACCTGGAGTTACTGTGGTGTATAGTCCAGTGGTATACTGGAAATTAAAGCAGCAAAAATCTTTCAGTGAAATGAAACTGGAAAAAACATTTAAGAAGCCCTAGTTGAGATGCTGTACATTTTGCTCCTGAGCAATCTAGATCCACCTATTGCTCTAAAATTATCTCCAAAAACTGTTTTGTATGTTGAATCTGTGACAGCAGGCTGCCTCTGACCCCGCCGGCCTGCACAGACTGGCTTATTCTAGTTCACACCTTATCTTAAAATATTCACATGGACACTTACAGTATCTCTATTATTAGCACATCAAGCAATTATTAATTAAGGTTTATAATTACTGGTATCTGTTATATTAAGCCTGTCTCTCTATTAATTAAAAAATTAATATCCTGATGACAAATATCAACTGAGTCAATTGCTTCGGTGCATTAGTGACGTAACCTATGAGACAGTTAGAATTCAAACGTATTCATGAAGTCTAGTCTGAAGGCAGATTTCAACACAATTCCTCAGAGTGATATTGAGTAGCTTCATAAATAGGGGCTCAGGTCTCCGACAGTGCAGCTCACTTTAGGGAACTGCACACTTGGTGCTGTCTGATGTGAGTTTGATTACAACAGTCAAAACTGTGCCATCCTTCATTAAATATTAGTTTTGCTTTTTACATCGAGAGAAACAATAAATGAACCAAGGAGAGAAAGATTCTACGAGATCTAATGCTACATTTGTTTGTCCTGTGAAATTCTATCTAAGTGGGTTTACCAACGTCCCTCATGTTAAATATTTCTGTCTTCCTTTGTTTTGTCTATATCATGACTGTTCTTGGGAATGGCCTCCTACTCTCAATGATTTGCCTGGTCAAGACTCTTCGTACTCCTAGATACATGATTGTGTCCAACCTGGCTTTGACAGATTTGTGTGGGCGCACTGTTCTCAGACCAAAAGTCTTGGACACATTTTTGTTTGACGATACATACATTGTCTATGAGGCTTGCTTGACTAATTTGTTCTTTGTTTGGTGTTTTATATTTGTGCAGTCATGGACACTCATCACTATGGTGTTTAACAGATTTATAGCAATTTGCTTCCCTTTAAGGTACCATAGTATTGTGACTAAACCAGATATTGCTGCTATGCTGCTGTTTGTGTGGGTTCTTTATTGAGTCTAATAGCATGCATGGTTTGGCTAATTGATTGCCTCTCCTTCTGCCGATCTTTGGTGATACAAAGCTTTTTCTGTGATCATGGACCAACATTCCGTCTGGCTTGTAATGACAACTCTTTAAATTACATAATGGGAGTTTTGGTTGTAACTGTAATTGTCCGTATTCCTCTTCTATTGATATCAATGACATACAGTATGTTTGCATTGCCATAGCACTGAGCAGGATTGCATCAGGAAAGGAATGAGTCAAAGTCTTTAAAACTTGTATTTCTCACTTGATTCTTCTGGCTATTTTTTTCCTACCCTTCTTGAATGCCAACATAATTTTTCTGACCTCCAACATCCATCCTAATACCAGGATCATAAACTCTATTTTGGCACACACCATACCACCTTTGCTCAATCCTATTATTTACTCTTTAAGAACAGAAGAAGTTTTGAACTCTATCAGGAAACTCCGCAAACCCATTAGGATGAACGATATCACCTTGTCCAAAAAGGTTACCTCTTTAGCTTAGTGTTAAGTATTACAACTTTTTTCTTTTTTTGGGGTGGGGGGTTGTCATTTGATGTACTTTACTGCTGTATTTGATTGCAAAGTGGCCTTAAAAGTGTAAAATATAGATACAGTATGAATGTATTAAACAGGAGAATGCTTCTCCTGAAATAGAGAAAACACGTCACTCTGTACATACATAGACATGCACATACACGATACCTTGTCTGCAACAATGCCATTCCATGTTAAACACACAACGAGATATTCAGCTCAAGGGATAGTATTGATTTCAGGTTCACAAGTCAGCCAGTGTAAACACACCTGAATACTTCATACAATTAAGTCATTACCAGGGATTTGAACACAAGTAGCAGGCAACAGTCAAAGGTTTATGCACATTTCAGCCTCAGAGTCTAAAATCACAAACTCGTGCTGCCAGGTAGGAACACCTCGACTCATCATCTCAGCAGCATTCTGTTCCATTTTATGGATAAACATTGCCTAGCGATATGGAGTCAATTTGTGCTTCAACTGCCTAATGCATTAAATTTATTATAGACAACAAAGGAAACAATTCATGCACTTACCTTTACACCTCTTCATATCAAAATAATGTGTCTGTTGTGGATGATTGTGAAGGCATGACAGTTGTTTTCTTTGGAGTAGCTGACACAGCCTGGTAGAGCCCTGCACACAGTTTCTTCACTGATTCTATAACATCCAGTCATGGGCAGTATGTGGTGTTTGTCTACAGAAGATGCATGCTCGGGGCTTCGGGCTGACACACCTCTCAGTATATCATTTCCCTCTGCTGAAAAGTGCCATTTTATCTCCATGAACAACCTGCCTGTAGCAGAATAGAGAGAACATTCTCAGGTCATCCATGCTGTGCGAGTGTGCTCTTTGTAACAGGGCCTCCACAAGAAAACCCTCCAGATACAGTACTCAGCTGTTAGGGTCTGCCTTCTCTCACATAGTGAAGTCTGTGCTGCAAATCCTGTGTTCACACACAGGTGTATTGCTTGCTTTGAGATTTCTTTCTATTTGGTCTGTGTGCACCTTTCTGAGATGGCGGTGATTACAGACTGGTCAAGATCATCTGCCATTACAAGATCAAAATCGGGATACTCTAGCTAATCAGAGATGAATTTGATTGTTCTGCAGATATTCTTAAAATGACATGCAAAACAAACTTCTCATCAATGATTGGACACAGACAGACATTTAGGCTCAGGACAAACTAAAACTGTCTTTTAATGCATAACATTATCTAAAAGGGCACTACACCATTTTAAACACATGAAGTTTAGTTTACTCATCATGGAGTGTGTGAAGTAGTGATGGCCATCTGACACCGAGGGCTCGATACACGATTCGAGCTCAGAGAGGGATCTCCCACGTACCACTGCCTCAAAGCTTGTATCGTTGCCAAAAAGACACGTGGCTGATGACGTCCGACGCAGAAACGCCTGGCCTGAGTGACTCCTGTGACCAGTTCAGACAGTCAATACAGTGTCACGACGTGAGATCTCGCTGCGCACGTCAGCAGGTGCTTAGGGGTACTATAAAGCCACCCAAGATGATGCACAACATGTGGGTTTGTCGGCGTAGTAGGTGTGTGCATAGTTGCTGTCGGTATGATCATTGCTGCTGGTGTGTGATCACCATGGAGCCAGCTAGGAATAAACCTGATTGATTCTCCATCCCTTGTATTTATTCACACCCTGTCCTAGTTACTCTAGTTACCCTAGTTATCTAGTTACCCTAGCACATATTACCATCCTAGCACATCCTCCGTTTCCTCAAGCACGCCTTCTCCCACCTACTACACTACATATGTTCATAGACTCGACCGACTGACCAATCAATCTTTACAAATGTTTCACATCATTCACACAAAGCCTAGTTACACCCATCACATAATTCAGACATTGTCCTGCTGCATACTATTTTGCCACCAGATGGCACTAAACCGAACCTTTGAATGAATGAACCAATACTCGATATAAATGATGAAGTGGTTCGATACAGGTGTCATGGTGTCAATTGGACATCACTAGTGTGAAGGCTACGCTGTCACAGTGTTAGCATTTCTTCTTTTTAATGTAGCTAATAATTTAACATTTTCCAGCAATGGCCCCACAGTCTTTTGGCTTCATATAACACACTTTGTTATGGCTTGTTTGTTTGAAGTAATCTGTTTTACCTTTGTCCCAGACAGCCCCCCACCTGGCCAAAAGATGAGACAGCTGTTGAGAAGGGCTCTTAGGGTTAGGATTAGGGTTAGGTTAATGGAAGTTGGTAGGAAGTGGAGAGACCAACTGGGTGTCAATGAGGGGAGTCCACCAGTTTTTACTTAGGTTAAACTTATTTTTGAATGCACCTTTGTTGTTGCATTTGTTGTAGTTTTTGTTGTACAGACAGAAAGTACAATATTATTGCAGGCTGTAGTAGTTAATGTACTGTGCTTTCTTTAATATACTGCAGACCAGATAAAAAACTTTTATTTTCCAGGATTTGAAAATATACAGAAACAATATTATGTCCAGTATTTGAATTGTAAAATTTTCTATGTAATAATTTAATAAATACATTTTTATAGTGAAGTGTTGTAAAACAACAGGTGCTGCTGATGGTGTGATTTTTCCAGGTAAATGGTGTTTTAAAAATCATCACAACATATAAAATAACTGATTTCAAGTTACAAGGCCAGTGATTATGAAACTACTGCAAATTAAAACACAGTAAATGACAAAATACAACATAACCACAATTTTAATATAAAGCATTTTCTAAGATGCCCATAGTAAAATAATTATAAAACATATTTATACTATTTTAATACTTTCTGATGTGTCAGTTAGTCATATAGAGCTCACTTTTTGGAAAAGGTTTTGCTGCTAAGTCTAACGTTTTTGAAAAGTTTCCTGATAAAGTTCAGCACTTCTTCTGTCTTTAAAGAGTAAATAATAGGATTGAGCAAAGGAGATATGGTAGGTGTAGAAACTGAGTCAATGATCCTGGCATAAGGATAAATGTGGGAGGTGAGAGCAGTTATGTTGATACTCGAGTGGCAAGAAGAAAACAGCCACAAGAATCAGATGGGAAGTACAAGTTTTCAAAGCTTTGAGTTGTTCCTGTCCTGATGCAATCCTGCTCAGTGCTATGGCAATGCAAATATATGTCAGTGCTATCAATATAGGAGGAACACAGAAGATTACAATAAAGACAACATATACCCCCCCTCCTTGAACCGCCACCTTATTGTGGTGGAGGGGTTTGAGTACCCGAGTGATCCTAAGAGCTATGTTGTCGGGGGCTATATGTCCCTGGTAGGGTCTCCCAAGGCAAACAGGTCCTGGGTGACGGGTCAGACTAAGAGCGGTTCAAAAGCCCTTTATGAATAGATTAAAATCAAGGACCGTGACGTCGCCTGGCATGGCGCAGCCGGGGCCCCACCCTGGAGCCAGGCCTGGGGTTGGGGCTCGAATGCGAGCGCCTGGTGGCCATTTTAAAGACCCAGTTCTTCTTTATACAAAGAAATGAAAAAAGGAAAAAAAAAACTAAAGATCCTTGTACCTGTGGAAGAGAGACCTTGAAGGATTCTCCCTTGAGAGTGGCACCATATTTAGTCAAACATCTGGGTGATGTAAAATAGCAGGTTTCCTCATTGTGGATAGTGCACCTGGTTGCCTCAACATAACATTTCCTGCCAGGGGGTGTTTGATATGCAGTGTTCCTCATTGAAGATTCCAAATACTGAAGTTAAAAGTCCCAGCAGTGGAGTGAAGAAGCCGGGGAGGATACAAGCTGTTTGTTTGTCAAGGAGCTCATCAGACACAAACAGTGGAGACAGATGGTCTCCATTGGCCCTTGAATGCAGATCACAGGACCTGAATGGAGGAAAGAGAGTAAGTGAGACATACAGTAGATAGAGACAGATACCCTTTTACAGTGAAGAAAGGTACCAACAAAGAACTTGCAGTTAGTGTAAAAGAGCATTATGTGGTATCTTACATGGCATTGGGGGGTGTATTCTCCTGATTCTGTCCCGTCGGCTTCCGTTCTCATGCCTTTATTTTGACATTTCCTGTTTCTGTTTCACCTTAGTTTCAGAACTTTTACTTTAATCAGCACTCATTGTTTTCAAGGGGCAGCACGGTGGCGCAGTGGTTAGCACCGCACCGTTGCCTTACAGCGAGAAGGTTCCGGGTTCAGGCCCCACCCAGGACCTTTCTGTGTGGAGTTTGCATGTTCTCCCCGTGCTTGTGTGGGTTCTCTCCGGGTACTCCGGCTTCCTCCCACAGTCCAAAAGACATGCAGCTTAGGTTGATTGGTGTCTCTCAATTGCCCATAGGAGTGCGTGTGTGTGGTTGTTTATCTATGCCTTTGCCCAATTGCCAGCCAGAAATGGCTCCATGACCCCATTCAGGGACTAAGCGGTAGAAAATGAATGAATTAATCCTTGTTTTCACCCCTTTACAAGCAGCTTTCCCCACCAGAAAGCTGCCAGATCGTTCTAACCCATGTCAGACTTTCCAGCATATTTTCTTGTGCCTGTTTTTCCTGTTTTGACCCCAGAATACCTTGTGACCACCGAGTACTGCCTGACCCTTCTGATTCGGACTGTTTTCTGTGTTTGGACTATTGGACTCCCCTCTTTGACCTCTCGTTGTGTGGATCCCTCAGCTGTGTAAGTTTGCTGTCTCTGACCCTGGACTGTCTTAGTGACCTGAGAGTGTGTTTCGAGTTTATGTAGTTTTCTGTACCGTTTTGTTTTCAGTGCACTAATTAAAGAGACAGTGTTTTACTTATCCTCATCTGGCATTATAATTGAGTTCACTCTGTGACATCATTGGCAGTTTTACGTGCTGATCCTGACAGAAATATAGATCTCTCAGGCCCTACGGGGCAGATAGTGGACCTACATTTGTCGGGTGTCTGCTAACATGTTTCAAAGTGAATGGAGACATTTCACTGCAACTACTGAATTTATAAATAAGCAAATGTTTAACAAGGTTGCCACATCAGCTTAAAGGTATTAAAATGTTGTTACTGGTTCACAACAATGTTCCAGTGTTCCTGCTGCCATTACAGGTTTAAGTGTGTTGTTTTCTACAAATATATTTGATAACAATGGTGCATACAGTAAATATGCTCTATGATATGGTGAACTTGAGCTGCATGAAAAATATTTACAATACATAAAAGTGTTTCTTTCAAAACCTGTCTTCAAGACAACCAAATGTGTGCCATAATGTAATTACAGTGCAGTAAGCAGCAAAAAAAACACAGAAGCTCATCAGGCTTTATATGATAAATTCAAAACATCCTTGCAATTTGTTAATCCCACAAAATCTCAAAAGTTCAAAACATGCAGGCACAGAAATAGCAGGTCAATGCAAGATAACCCACATTTCCTGGAGAAGACTTTTAGTAAAATTCTTACAGAAAAGAAATGTCTGGCAACCATAGTGGATGGAGAGGCCTGAAGTGAAACACCACTGAACTTGTAAACACAGTTTAGATTCACACAGCAGCTTTATGTCAGAAACGGCGTGCGTAGTGCGGCCGAAAAGTGTTTTGTGAACTCATTAAATGGCCAGACGAGGAAGTGTTAAACAAAAAACCGTCTCTTTATTATGAGAACTAAAACGAAACAACAAAACCATACCAGACACGGTGGACACAAACCCACGGTCAGTATCGGTCCCAGGTCAGAGCCAGCAAACACGTACATCCAAGGAAATCCAAAGTGCGTAGTCCGTATAGAAAGTCCGATAAGCCGATACACATGAGCAGTCCGAGATAAGAGGGCAAGGCAGAACAGGGTAATCCACAAAACAGTCCGAGTCAGAAACACAAATACCAAAAACCGAATATAACGCTGGAAAGTCTGAGCTGGGGTCTAGAACAATCTGGCAGCGTCCTCATGGGAGGACGCTGCCTAAATAGGGAAGAAAACAGGTGCACATAACAACGAAGCAGGTGAAACTAATGTGAGTGATGAACGTAAAGAAAAGACCAGAACTAAGGTGAAACAAAACAGGAAATAGTGTCAAAATAAAAGCCAGACAGGAAGCAGTGGAACCGAATCATGACACTTTACGCACAGAGGAGCTGAGAAGCAGCTAAAAACAAGACGATTTTAGCTTTTTCCACTTTTAAATACGAGATATTCATGACACTAAATGTACAGATGATAGGTTTTCTAAGCAAAAGTCATAAACTAGATGGAAGATGATTTTCTAGCTGTATAAAAACACAGTATTGGAAGGAAAAAGATTAGAACTAATAAAAGATGAGTTGTACAGGGTTTAAAAGCCTTCACCCTTTCCTGAACTGTGGCCATTTTAGTCACATCACAGCTGATGCATAAGTAAACAAAATGAATACCAGTGGTGGAAGCCAAAAGAAAACAACAGGTAACAAAATACTAATCACCAGGCTGGGTGTGTTATCATTGCAATTGGCCAGAATAAAAGGCCTTGGTCACAGAAACAGCAGCTAATAACTCAAGGCATAGAAAATGTGATGTGTGCATACTCAAACATTTTGGTTGAAATAATTAAATAAATAAACAAAAACCTCAGACACTGTTAATATTCCAACAACTCAAGGAAAGACAATAAACAGTGTCATTTGTTATAAATTTCCCAGTGTGTGGCTTAATGAATGGCTTTCCTTTAAGCAAAATGTTGAAAATCTTGTGATAAAAATTCATATTGGTTATAGGTATCATTTCAGACATGAAACTTTATTTACAAAGTGCTTTGAATTTCATGATTTAAGTTGATTCAGACATGCTAAAATGTTTCTGTATGACACATCTAACCTATTAAAATTGACAATTTCCAGGATCTGAAAATATCCAGAAACAATATTACATCCAGTATTTTAATTCTAAATTTTTCTATGTAATAATTTAATAAATACATTTTTATAGTGAAGTATTGTAAAACAGCAGGTGCTGCTAATGGTGTGATTTTCCCAGGTAAATGGTGTCTTAAACATATTGTCACAACATATAAAATAACTGATTTCAAGTAACAAGGCTGATGATTATGAAGCTACTGCAAAGCAAAATACAGTGAATGACAAAATACAACATAACCACAATTTAAAAGTAAAGTATTTTCTACTAAGATGCCCATATTAAAATAATTACAAAACACAATTATACTATTTTCATACTGTCTGATGTGTCAGTCATATAGAGCTCACTTTTTGAAAAAGGTTTTGCTACTAAGTCTATTGTTTTTGAAAAGTTTCCTGATAAAGTTGAGCACTTCTTCTGTCTTTAAAGAGTAAATAATAGGATTGAGCAAAGGAGATATGGTGGGTGTAGAAATTGTGTCAATGATCTTGGCACTAGGATGAACCTGGGAGGTCAGAGCAGTTATGTTGATGCCCAAGACTGGTAAGAAGAAAACAGCCACAAGAATCAGATGAGAAGTACAAGTTTTTAAAGCTTTGAGTCGTTCCTGTCCTAATGCAATCCTGCTCAGTGCTATGGCAATGCAAAAATATGTCAGTGCTATCAATATAGGAGGAATAAAGAAGATTACAATAAAGACAACATATGCCATTATATTATTTAACGATGTGTCATTACAGGCCAGACCACATGTTGGTCCATATTCACAGAAAACATTTTCAATCACCAAAGATCCACAGAAGGAGAGGCGATCAATTAGCCCAACCATGCAGGCTATTAGACTCAATAAAAATAACCATGTAAATAGCAGCATTGCAGCAATAGCTGGTTTAGTCACAATACTATGGTACCTTAAAGGAAAGCAAATTGCTATAAATCTGTCGTATGCCATAATCACAAGTGTCCATGACTCCATACTTATAAAGAAAAATACAAAGAACATATGACTTAAACAAACCTCATAAGCAATGTATCTGTTGTTAAACAAAAATGTGTCCACAACTTTTGGGGTGAAAGCAGTGCTCCCACACAAATCTGTCAATGCCAGGTTGAACACAATCATATATTTCGGAGTATGAAAAGTCTTGTCCAGGTAAATCACTGAGAGGAGGAGGCCATTCCCAAGAACAGTCATGATATAGACAAAACACAGGAAAACACATAAATACTGCACATGAGGGATGTCAGTAAACCCACCAAGATAGAATCTTGAAGGACGAACAAATGTCTCATTAGATATATTAGCAACTTTCTCTTCTGGGTTCATTATATCCCTGGATGTAAACAGAGAAAACAACACAACATATGACAAAGGATGACACAGATGACTGGTGGTGACCGTTGTAACCAAAGTCACGTCAGACAATATCAACTGTGCAGCTCCCTAAAGTGAGTTGCACTGCCAGAGACCTGCTGTTTGTTTTCCCTTTCAAAGTGAAACAGTAGAAATACAGGCAGCTGTGTCACATGATCATGAATTACAGTAGGCAGTTATATTTTATCTTGTGTAATTGTGTCAGATTATGTCATTGATGTGATGATGTAATCCGTTCAGTTAACTACTGACACTAGGATACGGAAATATTCAAAGTCACAATGTAGAAACTGGACAAAAATTACTAGAAATGTCCAAAATGATAACATGAGCATTTTAATAAAGGATGCAAAATGAATACACCCTAGTCTACACTTTTACTAATGAACATTTGTATTGTAGGTTCTTTCAAAATATAACGGTGTAATAGATTTTAATTCTTTAAAATCTACAATGCATTTTAGCTCCAAAGATGATTGTGGATTTTATTTGGTTTTTAATAACAGAGATAAGCACATGTGTCCATGTAACTATTGCATTAAGATATGGTGTGAACAGTCTCTGCAGGATGGTAGGGTTGGAAGCGGCCTGAAGCCATGGCTGCTGCATTGCACCCTGTTGCCTCTTTAAAGTAGACACAACTAATTTTGCCAGGTGGTGGGATCAGTGAGAAAACACTCACTATCTAAAAGCAGCTTTAGAATAAATTACAGTAAAACTTATTTCACTTAAAAATGATAGATATGGTATAGCAAGCAATCACTAACTTTACAAGGTTGACAGTATGTGATAGCAATAAAAAAAATCCACTTGTCTTACAAGCAAAACACAGTAAATGCTATTTCTATTTGTATAAAGAAAGTTTGGGATAAAGCTAGAAACAAAGACTCTGAGTTAGAATCACTGTGCCGCTACCATCAAAAAAAAAAATCAAAATATTATTTCTGCGTTAATACTGACAATTTTAATTACCTGACCTGAAAGATAAGGGGTCAGTTGGATCAAGAATCTTAGATTGATAGCTTAAAATGTGATGCGTGACCATCTACTGTACACACTGCGCACTGGGTTTTGCATAATGTAAATACAACTACGTCAGTAAACAAAAAATTTCACCCTCTCATGCTGTGTGGCCAACTGCAGCAAACAGGCCTTGTCTTGCGTGACCTGATATGGAACATCTGATTTGTACAATCTCAATAACTAAAAGAGTCTTCAGCTTGTACCTTTTGAGACAGTATGATGAACACTGTTCTAACACTGGTCTAAATAATGTATGGAAGGAAATCTTCATCAAAATGTTTGAGAACGCACAAACCACATTTTGAGCACTACTCAGCTTGAAACTCAGCATTTGAAAGCACACGGGCACATATTTGTAAGCAAAGAATCAGAGCTGAGAGCATAATCCAGGTCATGCATGTGCACGTTTCTGAGTCTATGCTCTCAGTTTTTTCCATTGGGGTTTGTGTGAAAGTCTGTCCATGCCAAAAATGTGTAAATCAGAATTGGAGAATGCGTAGGCACGAATTTGTATGAGCACACAGATTTGAGATTGAGATTTCAGGGCGGACAGACTCCTGAGTGCAAAAGACAATTTCAGCGAGCAGCAGGGATCCTGTAATTACCCATAATTCCCCTTCACACTTGCATTTTGCAGCATCACTGCACTCTCAAACATATATTTCACTGATTTACACAGCCCAGCCCATGAAAAGCATCATTCTTCATTTTCCATAGAGTTCTACTTTCTTTGTTAAACCAAAGTTCAGAAATACTAAACCTTGGTTTAACAAGGAACTTAGAACTCTGTGGAAAATAAAGAATGGCATTAAAACTGATGATAGCAGATCTTGGTTTAAAACAAATTAATCCAATTAGCAGAATACTAGTGTTGTGTGTTGTACAGTGCCTTGCGAAAGTATTCGGCCCCCTTGAACTTTGCGACCTTTTGCCACATTTCAGGCTTCAAACATAAAGATATAAAACTGTAATTTTTTGTGAAGAATCAACAACAAGTGGGACACAACCATGAAGTGGAACGAAATTTATTGGATATGTCAAACTTTTTTAACAAATAAAAAACTGAAAAATTGGCCGTGCAAAATTATTCAGCCCCCTTAAGTTAATACTTTGTAGCGCCACCTTTTGCTCCGATTACAGCTGTAAGTCGCTTGGGGTATGTCTCTATCAGTTTTGCACATCGAGAGACGGAAATTTTTGCCCATTCCTCCTTGCAAAACAGCTCAAGCTCAGTGAGGTTGGATGGAGAGCATTTGTGAACAGCAGTTTTCAGTTCTTTCCACAGATTCTCGATTGGATTCAGGTCTGGACTTTGACTTGGCCATTCTAACACCTGGATATGTTTATTTGTGAACCATTCCATTGTAGATTTTGCTTTATGTTTTGGATCATTGTCTTGTTGGAAGACAAATCTCCGTCCCAGTCTCAGGTCTTTTGCAGACTCCATCAGGTTTCCTTCCAGAATGGTCCTGTATTTGGCTCCATCCATCTTCCCATCAATTTTAACCATCTTCCCTGCCCCTGCTGAAGAAAAGCAGGCCCAAACCACGATGCTGCCACCACCATGTTTGACAATGGGGATGGTGTGTTCAGGGTGATGAGCTGTGTTGCTTTTACGCCAAACATAACGTTTTGCATTGTTGCCAAAAAGTTCGATTTTGGTTTCATCTGACCAGAGCACCTTCTTCCACATGTTTGGTGTGTCTCCCAGGTGGCTTGTGGCAAACTTTAAACGACACTTTTTATGGATATCTTTAAGAAATGGCTTTCTTCTTGCCACTCTTCCATAAAGGCCAGATTTGTGCAGTATACGACTGATTGTTGTCCTATGGACAGAGTCTCCCACCTCAGCTGTAGATCTCTGCAGTTCATCCAGAGTGATCATGGGCCTCTTGGCTGCATCTCTGATCAGTCTTCTCCTTGTATGAGCTGAAAGTTTAGAGGGACGGCCAGGTCTTGGTAGATTTGCAGTGGTCTGATACTCCTTCCATTTCAATATTATCACTTGCACAGTGCTCCTTGGGATGTTTAAAGCTTGGGAAATCTTTTTGTATCCAAATCCGGCTTTAAACTTCTCCACAACAGTATCTCGGACCTGCCTGGTGTGTTCCTTGTTCTTCATGATGCTCTCTGCGCTTTAAACAGACCTCTGAGACTATCACAGTGCAGGTGCATTTATACGGAGACTTGATTACACACAGGTGGATTCTATTTATCATCATTAGTCATTTAGGTCAACATTGGATCATTCAGAGATCCTCACTGAACTTCTGGAGAGAGTTTGCTGCACTGAAAGTAAAGGGGCTGAATAATTTTGCACGCCCAATTATTCAGTTTTTTATTTGTTAAAAAAGTTTGAAATATCCAATAAATTTCGTTCCACTTCATGATTGTGTCCCACTTGTTGTTGATTCTTCACAAAAAATTACAGTTTTATATCTTTATGTTTGAAGCCTGAAATGTGGCAAAAGGTCGCAAAGTTCAAGGGGGCCGAATACTTTCGCAAGGCACTGTACATGTCATAGTGCAGAAAAGCATAACATGTGGATTTCAAATTAATTCAAAGGTCACTCAATAAAAACATAACACCAAATACCAAAAAGTGTGCTTTAGGTGCCTCTACTCATGCTACGTAAAATACTGTACATGATTTCAGTCAGTAAGATGGTCTGTCAAGATGCTGAGCATATTACAGACACAGGGGAGCAGACCTTGGCCTTATTTGACAGAAATGTAGAGGAGGGCTTCTTCCCTTGATAACACCCTCTCTCAGCAAAGCTAAAGCTCAACAGAGCTGTGAAATACATGATGAGCTCACCTCCATCTACATAAGGACAACACAGCACTGATGCACAGAGGACACTTCTTTCTATAAGTCATTGTGCTGTGGCCAGTTATGGAGTTATTCAATCCAGCTCTTGATAAAAACATCTCTTTTGTGCGTCCTGCTTATTTTATAATAAGTGGATTTACTGACATACCTAATATCAAGTATTATTATGTCTTTCTCTTTGTTGTTTATATTGTTTCAGTGCTGGGAAACACTACTGTGATGGTAATAATATGCTTGGATCATAATTTGAGAACTCCAAAATATATAGCAGTTTTTAATCTAGCATTTACAGACCTGATTGGTAGCTCTGCTTTGGTGCCAAAAATTCTTGACATATTTCTGTTTGACCATCCCTACATCTCCTACAACGACTGCTTGACATTCATGTTTTTCTGCTATGCCTGCCTTTCAATGCAGCCATTTAATCTGGTTGCACTGTCCTATGACAGATTTATAGCAATCAGCTTTCCACTGCACTATCATGTGAAGGTGACCCACAAGTTTATGTTTTCTTTGATTGCCTCTTTCTGGTTCTTCATCATTACAATTTCAGTCATTGCAATTTCCCTTCTCACAAGACTTTCCTACTGTAAGTCTGTAGTTATTAACAGCTATTTCTGTGACTATGACTTGGTGCAAAAGCTGGCCTGCAATGATAATACACTCAGCATGGTCATTGGTCATCTGTTAGCAGCTCTTATTCTTTGGCTTCCACTGCTATTTATCTTGTCATGTTATTCACACATTGGCTATGCATTGTCTAAAGTAGCCACAGTTAAAGAAAGAGTGAAGGCCTTTAAAACCTGCACATCTCATCTTTCACTGGTGGCAATCTATTTTCTCCCTGTAATGTTCACATTTGCTATGACTGCATCTATACACCCAAATACCAGGATCATAAACATGTCTCTGTCTGCTGTCTTTCCTCCTATGTTGAATCCAATTATTTATGTTCTGCAGACTCAGGAAATCAAAGTGTCTGTGAAAAAGTTATTACAAATCAGAAAGCCATCCAAAATCACAGGGACAGGAATAATCATAACATGAGCATTTGTGTATATTTTGAGTCATCTGTTTATGATATTATGTACAAAACAGTAAACGTTCTGGTAAAACCATCGAAGTAACAGCTGTGGTAAATATTAGATACTTCTGCAACATCACATAAGTGAACATGAATATATTCCATGAAAAAGGATTGTAATAATTAATCTTGAGATTAGATAACAGTTTAAAAGAACAATGCTACAAGGCTTGCACTGTCCTGTCTGTTAGGAATGAGGCAAAGTATAGAGGAAATGCATGCCAGTCCCTCCTGGCTCAGAGTAAAGACTAGGTTGACATGCAATTTATTGAGTTTCTTTAGCAAAAGTATAATGTTGTAGTAAACAACCAAATTGTTTGTACTCACAGTTAAATTATATAAGAGATTAACATTATTATAATACCAGGTGGCCTACTACGGGTTGTTTGGTTAAGGAAAAACCTAGAACAGTCAACACAATGTGGAATAAGTTACCATCTGTGATTACTGAAACACCTTGTAAGGCAAATTGTACAAAACAAATGAAAAAATATATTGAAAATTATCCTAATATTGACTGACTTGAAAGACTTTGATGGAATGTAATTGGATGTTGTAGCTTAGTTTTTAGTTGATTTTATTAATGTGAATATGTTTTTGTGGACATTTTTGTGTATGTGCTAAATGTTGTTGTGTGTGTGTGACTCCAGGAAGAGTAGCTGTTACCCTGGTGACATCTAATGGGGATCTGAATAAAGAATAAAGTGTTTCAGGGACATTCTGATTGGTCTTTACTGTGAAGCAGCTACACAAAAATTTGAAATTCTATAAAGGTGACCTGCTCTTTTTTATGATTATACTGCAGAATTAAAATATTTTCAATATCAAGAAGGCAAAATTGTTCAGATATTTTAACATTTTTATCCAGAGTGAGGCTTGTACCATCAAGGACTCAAATTCAGGCATGTTGAGCCAGTCATGAGAATCTGTTCAGCATCATTAGATGCATGTGGTTGTGTGTGGGGCAGTTATGAAGACAACAGATTTTAAACAATTTCTTGTTGCAGTTTGTTTAGATTGTGTTACTGAGTACTTCTGAAAGTAAAATCTGATATTATGACATACTCTGCTCAGCCATAACATTATGACCAATGACAGGTGGAGTGAATAACAATGACTGTCTCGTTACAACGGCACCTGTTAGTGTGCAGAGTATATTAGGCAGGAAAGTGAACATTCGGTGCTTGAAGTTATGTTGTAAGTAGGAAAAATGGGCAAGTATAAGAATATGAGAGACTGGCTCAGAGCATCTCCCGCACTGCAGGTCTTGTTGGGTGTTCCCGGTCTGCAGCGGTCAGTATCTACCAACAGTGTCTAAGGAAGGACACACAGTGAACTGGAGACAGGGTCATGGACACCCAAGGCTCACTGATGATGAGGTTGACCTACTCTAGATTAAACTTTTAAAATATTAATCCTTTTCAAAACATTCAATTTTCTTTAAATCTTTATTAAAATGGCTGAAAATGAGAAATACTGTACATTGGTCTCTTTGAAGAGAAACATTCAGCGGCTATAGTGGTGATATCTGTCAGGTTTGCCCGGCTGCACCTTCCTCTCTTCTCTTTCTCGCACTAGTCAGCTCCCTTACACTGATTATTTGATTAGACACACCTGCCCCGATTCTCTAACACTCATCAGCTGCGCCTCCTTAGTCTCCCTCCTTATTTATACACTGCTCACCTATCACTCCCCTGCTAGTTCTTTCTCCGTCGTCAGACCTCCCCATGCATGTTGCTATTTTCTTGTTTATTCGTTATGCCAAGTATGTTTTGTGTTCCCTGCTTCCTTCTGCGTTTTGCCTAGTTCCTGTTCTTGCCCCGCCGTACCTGGCTTCCCTCCGCATTGGGCCTCTCCTCTGGATCCTGGTACCCTCAGCTCCACCAGCCACCACCGTCACAGGTCGATGCACAGTCTCCTTTTATCTGACTCTCTCCTATTACCTCCTCAGCTATCCATATCTCCTACCCGACCAGTCCAGGAGTGATTCCGATACCCGCAGCCCGGCCCATCATCACTCCATTAACCATAACTCCTGCCACTGCTGGTCGACACCCGGTTTCTTCACCACTTCACCTTTGTAAATATTTACGCACTTATTTGACACTGTAAATAAATCTCACTGCTTGCACCGAAGCCATCCGCCTGGGTCTGTTGTTTTTCTCCGCTCGCTCACCTGTGTGTCGAGCGTTCATAACAATATCATACCTAAAGTGGGGAGGCTGTTGAATTTGTGTAAACAATCCTCTTACTTGTCCTCATGGCACAGCTTTCACTCCTTTTACATGTTTTTCACTGAATGGTTGACACATTTGTGCTCTTCCTGACAGTAGAACTATGGAAGCAGACAGATTCAGAAGATGCACAGTGAGCTGCAGGGGGACAGGAGTGCCAACCAACTGTGACACTGACTCCTGTGTAAACAGTATTAGGCAGGTGATCATGTTATGGCTGAAGCATCCTGATAATAAAACTAAGCACTGAACCCTGTGAGGCACAGCAAAATAGAGGACCTAGAGTTACAGACTCAGAATAGATGAACACTGGCCAGAGTTTACAGTACATTTATGAAGGTCACTCAGAAGGATATAGTAATTTAAATTAAACCATAACACCATCTTCCAAGGCCTATTTTTTTGCTCTGTACTGCCATACACACAGGCCTGGCCCATGGTCAATTAAGTACAAACTCACAGAATTACACCTTCTGTTTAATGCAACTACCGAGGATATCACACATGACCAAACATCAGCACTGTTTTGTAAATGGCTTTTTGTTGTTTTAAAGACTGGATTACAGAAAGTATTGTCCCTGGGATGCACTGTAATATGAAAGAGTTGATTTTTTAATGGCCAGCTCATCTGTGTATATTCCATATTGTGCTGATATTTGACACCTTAAAGTCAAGTATTGCAGCCCATCACATCAGCAACCTTTCCATTCAGGATATGCTCAAAGTTAATGCAAAATATAACACACCTCTGAGCTTAACTTGACCACAGGCTGGCTTTCACTGGAACATATCTATAGCTTCCAATATTTGGACAATTTTGCTTCGTTCATCTAACAAACTTTTGAAATTCAAGCATGAGCTCCTGTAGCTGTTTCACAAGCGCTTAGCTGACCACCATCGTCAGGCCGCTCCGACGTACCAGGTTGGGCAATGGGTATGGCTCTCCTCTGCGCACATTCCCTGGAAAGGTACTTGCCCTAAACTGTCTCCCTGGTTTCTGGGGCCCTTTCCGATCCAGGAAGTCATACACCAGATGGCTGTTAAACTCACTCTACCTGAATCTTTACGTATACATCCCATCTTCCATGTCTCACAAATCAAGCCCGTCTTAACCAGTCCCCTCTGTCCACCACCTGCACTGGAGGTGGACGGCGGTCTGGCTTATACGGTCCGTCGGATCCTGGACGTACGCCCTAGGGGCCGGGGTTTCCAGTATCTGGTTGATTGGGAGGGGTATGGTCTGGAGGAACGCTCCTGGATCCCCCGGTTCTTCATCCGCAGCCTGGCCCTCTTCACCGACTTTTACCGGACTCACCCCAACAAGCCAGGGGGGCCGCGGTAGTGCCCTCTTTCCGGTGGGTCCCTGCGCCTCACTGGGCTGCTGCTTGTCTGTCTGGTATCCATCCTTGGAGGGGGGGGGTCCTGTCAGGGTCGCTCTGTTTCACCTGCCCTCTCTCACCTCCACACTCCTGCCAGCTGTCCTGATCATCACCACCTGTTATCCATTCTACCATTAACCACGTGCTATATCTACCCTGCCTTCCTGCCCGCTCATTGCCAGTTTGTTGCATATTCCCACGCCGACGACCAGTGCCGTTCCTCTTTAACATTTGTCATATCTATTCTACCCTAGTTAACCCTCTTTATTCTTCTGAAGCTTTCTTCTTGCCTGGGCCAGCCAACAGCTCCCCCTTCTTGTATTACAACACTGCCTCTTCTTCAACCCCGACCTTCTCTACACTGACCAGCCAGTGAGTGACCCTCCAGCTCCTTCTTCCTATTCTGCTGTGACTATCATTTACCGCTGCCGGAGCTACGTCTCACCCTGCCTTTTTGTCTTCAGGACTGTTATACGTATGATAAGCACATCGTCACGATATTGACTTGTACAGCACCATTAAAATATTGTTTCATTGAATTCAGCCACCTGAGTCTGTATTCTCTCTCACACCACCTTGTGTGGTGTGTGGTCATAACAATGAGCTCCTGTAACTGTTTCACAGTAATATTCTTGAAGAAAGTTCAGAACGCCCCAGAATGGGAGGTTGTCTGGTTTAATCATGGATCTCAGAAAGACAAAAATCTTTACATTTTGCACAAAAAATGAAAATGAAAATCGTGTAAATCATCATCAACCATTACGGAGGGAAAAAAACAGATGAGAGCAAGCTTTCCTTTTCAATGGTGCCTTGACAATACAAATAACACCACCAAAATAATAAAATATATATATATAAATGAATCAAATTAAATCAGTATTAAAAGAAATCCAATATCACAAATCACAAATAAAAAACAATAAAATATAAATGCATGCACACAAAATCAACATAAAATTATATTAAAAACAATATCCAAATCATCTAGTACACACACATTTAAACTATAAATTACTACGTAAAAGCTGGTACACTGATCATTTACAATCCGAAACATGTACAGTAATATATTCAGGCAACTTAGTTAGTAGGCCTTGATACGTAGATAAATAACATACAATGATGCTTTCTTCTCAGTGTCAAAGAAGATCTAATAGCAGATTGAAACAGATGACCCAAAACATACACAAAGTGACATCTTATGATTACTATGCTATGATTGTTCTTCTGTAATATTTCTATTGCTTTCTGATTTTCAGTAATTTTTTAACTGTAATTTTGATTTCTTGTGTCTGCAGAACATAAATAACTGGATTCAACATGGGTGGAAACACTGAGGTCAGAGACATGTTTATGATCCTGGCATTTGGATGTATATTTGCACTCATAGTAAATGCAATTAACATTGGGATGAAATAGATCGCCACCAACGAAAGATGAGCTGTGCAGGTTTTAAAGGCCTTCCCTCTTTCCTTAACTGTGGCTATTTTAGATAATACATAGCCAATATATGAATAGCTTAACAAGATAAATAGCAGTGGAAGCCAAAGAATAAGAAATGGTACCAACATAGCAATGACAGTGCTTGGAGTGTTGTCATTACAAGCCAGTCTATATATCTGGCCATGGTCACAGAAATAGCTGGTAATAACCAAAGACTTGCAATAGGAAAGTCTGGTGAGAAGGCCGACTGCAATGAGTGTAAAAGTAATGACGACAAACCAGAAAAAGGCAATTAAAGAAAACATAAACTTGTGGGTCACCTTCACATGATAGTGCAGTGGGAAGATGATGGCTATCAGTCTGTCATAGGAGAGTGCAACCAGATTAAGAGGTTGCATTGAAAGGCAAGTGAAGCAGAAAAACATGAATGTCAAACAGTTGTTGTAGGAGATGAAGGGATGGTCAAACAAAAAGATGTCAAGAACCTTAGGCACCAAAGCAGAGCTTTCAAACAGGTCTGTAAATGCTAAATTAAAAACTGCAATATATTTTGGAGATCTCAGATTATGATCCAAGTATATTACAGCCATCACAGATGTATTTCCCACCACTGCAACAATATAAACAACAAAGAGAAAGACATAATAATACTTGATATCAGGTATGCCAACAAGTCCACTTATTATGAAATATGCAGGATGCACTAAAGTCATGTTTTTACCAAGAGCTGAGTTGAATAACTCCATTGTAACAGGTTATTTGGCTTTCACTGTCCACAGCACAGTGATTTATAGAGAGCAGTGTCATCTTCTGTGTCAGCAGTGTTGTCTTATGTAGATGGAGGTGAGCTTGTCTCTCGCTCTCTTTCTGATGACAGAGCTCTGTCAAGTTTTATCTTTGCTGAGAGAGGTGGTAACAAAGAGAAAGAGCCCTCCTTAACATTTTTATCAAATAATGTTATTGTGTGACTATTTCCTTATCCTTATCATTATTCTTATTGCAGTGGTGGAGGAAGTAGTCAGATTGTTTACATAAGTAAAAGTAGCAATGCCACAGTGTAAAGTGAAAAAATATTTTGTTACAAGTACATTCAAAATATGCTGGAAGTATCAAAAATACTCATTATGCATAATGGCACATTTCAGAGTAATGTGCAGTATATCATATTAATGGATTATACTGTAACACCGGTTAGTGAAAGGGTGCCCACCCAATGACCCTGTAGACTTGCCTTCACTCCTACACCCATGCCAACTTTCTATTGGTGATGATATAGTCATTGACTCAGTTTGGTTGATAGTGGTGTATTTTTTCATGTTTGACACTGTCAGTGGTTGGACAGTTGAGTGGACACCAGGTCAGTGATGACTGCCATTACCTTCCAGGTGTGCCAGCCACTGCTTAACCTGAGCAAATACAATGCAGATATTGCATGTCAAGCCACATATCTGCTCTTTGCTTGGGCAAAGATGGGATTCGGGGATGGCTTGTTTCAGGGGTAGGTTAGATTTGGAAAATGGTGTTGCTTATTGTGGGGCTCTGAAGATTTATGATGGCATGGCCTGAAACTGTGCTCGCTGTGACATCACACCCAGTCATGAAAGCAGATAAGGATAATCACCTTTATTTGGCCAAGTATGTTACACACACAAGGAATTAGCATCAGGGACAGAACTGAGGCACCAATTCACATGGATGGCTTTAACCACTGGGGGCAACTTGGGGGTTCAGTGTCTTGCCCAAGGACACTTAGGGCATGTAGGCACTGTGATTTGAACCAACCCTCCGGTTGAGAGACAACTACTCTACCCACTGAACCACAGTCGCCCCCGACCACAGCCACACCCAGATACATGATGAATGATACTGCACAACGCTACACTGAGAGTGTAGGGAGCTAAATGAAAATAGGTGTGTTAAAGCTAAGAGAGCTGCCTCCTGCTACTTCTGAAAAATGACTTACTTTATAGGGAATTTAAAAACAATCCTGCCATTCCTGAAACATTCCCTTGCTTGTTGACATGTACTCATTGAGAGCCGCTGTGCCAGAGTCAAATTCCTCATGTGTCCGACACACCTGGCCAATAAAACTGATTCTGAACATTTAGTTGAAGTCTAGTCAGCAACAGCAGGTTCCTCTTCTTATGAAAAAACTTAGAAAAAATCAACTGGACTAGATTTCTAGGATGAAGATGTTTCACCTCTCATCCAAGCCTCTTGCCCAAGGACACCATGAGGCTTAGATGAGAGGTGAAACGTATTCGACCTAGAAATCTTTTTTCAGTTTACTATGACCTGGATGACTGAGAATCTGCACAGACGTGTTCCTCTTCTTCCCATTCACTGTACTGGACTGTCAGTAACTAGAGATGAATCACTTATGCACTGTTCCCTCACTTGTTGTCATAACCAAAAGAACTATATCCTGGTAGAACTTATTTTTGATGTGCAATAGTATTTGAGATTTAGATTTGATTCAACTATATTTTTTTTGAACAAGTAAAAACAAAATGTAGATGGAATCTAACCAGAAGTGCATATAAATAATGTGAATGATAGTGCACTAATAGGGTTGCATAAGTACGCAATAGTGCCAGCAGGGGGAAAAATGATTAATGAATTTAATAATTCTGCTTTTGACATAATAAAAACTGCATGTCCATAAATTCAGAGGGAGCAAACTTTTGCTTTGCTGCTTCATACTTGTGACTTCTTCTGACTGTTTTTTTTCTTGCAGTCCTCATGAGTATGATGTTCAACCTGAACACTAAACCTGAAAACTAGCGCTAACCACTGCACTGCTACATTTTCAATATTACACGAAAAACTCTGAAAGTCAGCTTTTGTTACACTTGTGTTGAAAATTATGTCTCTAGACCTCAGTGGTAAGTATAATTTGCTCTTAATTCAAGAAAAAAAGACACTGTTGACAATATGAGAAGAAAAAAGAAAGACAAAAGACTTATTACCAAGTTCAAGCCAGTGACTCATCATGTTCTGTGATACATTACGCTAATCGCACAGTATTTCCTTGTTAGTTTATTTGACTGTCCATACATTTTTTTCCAGGTTTTTAGTTTCTCTTTACGTTTACTCTTGTTAGCTGTCATCCATGGACAGGTCTCCCTTATAAAAGAGGTTGCTAATACTACCAAAGCATTTTTGATGATTCTTTTAATTGCTGTAAAAACTAAATCATATATGGATCCATTTCTTTACTGACGTTGATACAGCAAGAATTTATGTGTAACATGTAACTTATTAGAAATGTATCACTATGCAATTTCCTAGATTTGAAAACATATGTAAAAGATGGATGTAATGTATTTTCATTCTAGACTAGTGTATGTTATAATTAGTAATATTTTAATATAGTTTTTATATTTAAAGATTTCTTAAACATGTAAACCAGTGGTTGCTGATGGAGTTTTTTTGTTTTTCATCTTATCAGTGTAGATCACAACAGATTAACATAATTTCATTTTACAAGAGTGATCATTACATGATTTCTGAAACAGTAACAAACAGTAAATGACAAAAAACACATAATTACAACTTAAGAGTAAAATTGTAATATTTACTACAAGGAAGTTAAAACTGAAAAGTTGCTAAACACATTTATGATAAATGTAACAGTGGTAAAGAGTTCACCTTCTTGCATAGGGTTATGTTGCTTATTCCACTGGCTTTGCAAAGTTTCCTGATAGAGCACCAAAGTTTCTCTGTCTTTTGATAGTAAATAACAGGATTGAGCAAAGGTGGTATGTTGAGGGTCAGTGTAAAATTTATGATATGAACATTGGGATGGATGTGTGTTGGTGCCCAAAATTGGTAGATAAAATATAACCAGTTTTGGATGGTTTGAGTGGTTTCTCTCTTGATGCAATCCTGCTCAGTGATATGGCAATGCAAATATACAGTATGTTAGAGCTATTAATATAGGAGGAAAACAAATTATTATAATAAAGGCAACATTTGATACTATGTAATTTACAGACTTGTCATTACAGGTTAGATGATATGCTGGTGTAGAAACACAGTAAAAGCTTTGTATCACCACAGATCCACAGAAAGAGAGGCAATCTATTAGTCCAACCATGTACTGTATGCTATTAGACGCAAAAAAATTCCCCATAGAAACAGCAGCACTACAGCAATAAATAATTTAGTCACAATACTATGATACCTTAAAGGGAAGCAAACTGCTATAAATCTGTCATATGCTATAATCACAAGTGTCCATGACTGCACACATCCAAAGAACAAAACAAACATGTAACTTAAACAATCCTCATAGATCTGTTGTCAAACAAAAATGTATCCAAGAGTTTTGGGATGAGAGCAGTGCTCCCACACAAATCTGTCAAAGCCAGGTTGAACACAATCATGTATTTAGGAGTATGAAGAGTCTTGACCAAGTAAATCACTGAGAGGAGGAGGCCAATCCCCAGAACAGTGAGGATATAGACAAAACACAGGAAGACATAGAAATAATTCACATGAGGGATGTTACAAAACCCACTGTTTTATAAGAATTTTGAAGGACGAACAAATGTAGCATTAAATGTGGAAACTTCTCAGTTCATTATCTGTTTCTCTGGATATAAGAAGAGAAAATGATGCAATATATTGTATAATAAAAGGATGACACAGTTGACTGGTGGTGACCGTTGTAAACTCCACTTCAGACAGTATTGAGTGTGCAGTTCCATAAAGTGAGCTGTGTTGTAAGAGACCAGCTCATTATGTTTAATCCTTTTCATTACGAACCAGTAGAAATACAAGAAATGCAGATAACTGTGTCACATGATCATGTCAAAGATAGTGATAATATTCAATCTTTAACTGTCTCATACATTGTCATCGATGTGATGATGCAGTTGACTATTGTTGTCAGCAGGATACTTAATTTGTTAATGAAACAGTGTAGAAAGTGGACAAAATTACAACAAATGATAAATATTATAGTGATTTAACAAATAGTAAACCTATTATATTATAGGGGGCAGCACGGTGGCACAGTGGTTAGCGCCGTTGCCTCACAGTGAGAAGGTTCCGGGTTCGGGCCCCACCTGGGACCTTTCTGTGTGGAGTTTGCATGTTCTCCCCATGCTTGCGTGGGTTCTCTCCGGGTGCTCCGGCTTCCTCCCACTGACCAAAGACATGCAGCTTAGGTTGATTGGTGTCTCTAAATTGCCCATAGGAGTGCGTGCGTGTATGTGTGGTGGTTCGTCTATGTGTTAGCCCTGCGATGGATTGGCGACCTGTCCAGGGTGTACCCCGCCTTCGCCCGATTGCCGGCCGGGATTGGCTCCAGCCCCACCCGTGACCCCGTTCAGGGACTAAGCGGTAGAAAATGAATGAATAAACCTATTATAGACACCTGGTATTAATCTAGGAATCATTCTTTTTGGGAGGATTTTAGCATGCAGAGAGAAAGTATGAAAGTGTCTACTTATCCTTAAGCTTTTCCAGAAATCATTATACATACCAAATAGTTCTTTTTTAACTTATATATATATATAGATTATTGTTTTCTGTCTTCTTGTTTTGTACTTGTTATTTTGTCTTTTACTCGAGTACTCAACACAAATAGACCATCTTCAGTGTATATAGTTGTCCTGCCAGTAGCTTAGCAGCCAGCAGTCCCCTCTACCCCTCGATGTGCAATGAAAAGTACATGTAATACATGCCACGGGACTTTCTCCTACTCACTGCTGAATTATGTAATCCCTGGAACTTGTCAGCAGCACTGTACAGTAGGGCTTTGACTAAAATATGAAGGTATCAACATGCAAAGTTTAACAGAATAAAATGCTGCTGTGCCATTGCAGTAGCTCCTGCAAAAAATGTTCAGTAATGGCAATTAAAGTAATTAGTGAACATATACATTTACTCTTACTTTACTCATATCAGAGCAGTTTTACCCAGACTTTAATATTGCTCTAGCATGGGTTACACCTGGGTTCAGCAAAATCACAGCCCAGCACTGAACTGATTTATAGTTAGAAAAAGCGGTGATAAATGGGATTCACAGTGTGGAAAGGCAAACATTCATGTCAAAATTTACATTTGCATGACACCTTGTAAGTGTGTTTGAACTCCTCCAGTCTGGATGGTACTACAGGACACTGTATGACAAAATAACCAGACACAAGGACCGTTTCTTCCCCTGTACCATTTTACATGATGAACAGTTAATCCATGACTGAATGAGTGGACACAGCAATCAGCACTGATGCAATAAACTGTAAATATAATCACTGTATATATCAGTCTGAAAGCTCTTCTGCCATAATGTACATATATTTATAAATGCTGTCTGTCATTACCTCAATCCTTTTTGATTGCACACATTTCCTACTTGGATCCACACACTGTTGATTTGTAGTTGTATTTCTGTTTTTTAATTTTTCTTGCCATTGATATTTTTTTATTCCTGTTGCCTTGCAGCACATAGAGAGCCTCTGTACCGGAGTCAAAGTGTTCTATGTTCAAACATACTTAGCCATTAAAGACAATTCTGATTCTGATTTATCAAACTAGGCAGCAACTAACATCAACAATACCTTTAAAACTGGTGTATGACTGTGGTAAGACACCTCTCGCATTTTGTTGTATCATGCATTACCAGTAACAGCCACCTGGAATGTTAATTCTGCACTATCAAAATCCAGAAATACATTTACCCTCATTTGTCCCAGGGTAGTTATGAATATAGTTCACACAAATATACATAATATACTACAAAACAAATGTGCTGTCAGCCACGAGATCTGACAAAAACAGAACTGAACATTAAGGCCTGTAATTTGAATTTAGTTTAATGACCCTAGAAAGATATGGAAATGTAGTCAATCCTTATCTTCTGACAAAAACTTTAATTTTTTTTTGTCTTCATGCATTATTTAAAAAACAACTACAATGTGTAATAAACTAGTGTTTTGAATTGTTTAAATGAACATTTGGGTGCTGTTTCAAGTCTGACAACTGTAAATGTATTGGATGCTACTAACCATGTGAGTGAAAGCTGTTTCCTTCTCTGAGCTACATGAATCCTTATAAAACTAGATATAAGGAAAGCTGTTGGTCCAATTTGCTTAGTCTTATTTTTTAAAAGCTCATATATTTTAATGCTCTTCCTCTCACACACATTTTCAATCTTACAAGAGAATCCCAAACTCTTGAAATCAGCTTTTGTTACACTTTTGTTAAAAGGTGATAATGTTTCTACTTTAAATAATTATGGGCCTATTTCCTCTACTGCATAAAATTCTTCCAATACTTCTGAGTAACAAGTTGAAACAGTTTTTGTATAAGGGTATTTTATGTGAGCATCAGTGTGGATTTACAAGCTCCATAGTAATACTACTGCTGCTGCATTCAAAGGTAATAAGTGATATAATTCTGTTGGACTCAACCAGTCCTGCGTGTTCTACTTTATAAGCAGAGCTATGCGGCTTTATTTATTGATTTGTCTGAATTGTTAGATTCTGTGGATCATGCCTGCTACAGCACAGGCTGCTTACCATAAGGTTGCTTGACTAAGCAATACACTGATGTAACTTATTATCCTTCAGGTAGGACTCGGTGTGCAACAGCTAATAGCTGCTTCATGCACTATAACACAATACACTTCAATTAATGATTTATGGTCCCTTTACATTCTGCGCTATCTAATAGTGGATGCAGACAAAGCAAAGCTAATTAATTCAAGGGAAAAAAGCTTCCAACAATGTTGACACTCAATGGAGAAAAAAAATAGCCATTTGTTATAAAGAGTTTATCACAAACTTCAAACTCATCATTGTGCTCTTTATGCAGAGTCACTGGCATATTTTCATTCCTAAAGAAATTCTAGACAACTTTTGTCATATGTTTGCTAAATTATTTGACAAAGTTAATGTACAAATCATGATCTTAGATCACGAGACAGATGCATACACATAGAGACAGAAAAGAAAACATGTTTTTAACTTTAGAAGCTTAGAATAAAAATACCTTGTTTTTAGTTGGTTAAATATATGTTATATGTTGTATTGTCATCTTTGAAAGTAATCCTGCCTTCCTGGCCAAGTCCACCTTGAAAAAGATGTTGCAAACGACAGAGTAGCCACTTTAAAGTAACAACATTCACCCTCATTAAATTAAACATTTAATATATCCATCAATTGCTATATGCGCTACTAAACCCAGATGTGCAGGGGAATGATGAAATAATTTCATCTCAACAGACTGTATTACACTATGCTGTGTAGTAGGCTACAGACATTCAGTCAGTTACATATTATATTCAATAGGCATGGAGGCAGTGTTGTGATTCTTATTATAAAAACTTTCGAGGTAAGTTTCACAGCCTAGTGTTACATGCTTTATTAAATCATAATGAAAAAGTAAATATGAAAATAAAAACATATTCCTAACTAAGCCATTGCACTTTTATAGTCATTTTTAAAGCGAAAACATTGGATCATTATTAAGTACTTGTATTGATACACAGTATGAGTGAGTACTCAAATGTACTCAAAAGTACTTGTATATGGTCTAAAAAAAAAAGTGCTATTGTTGCATCCCTACCTCAGTCTATTAGCTTTGCAAAGTTTCCTGATAGAAGTCAACACCTCTTCTGTCTTTAAGGTGTATATAAATGGATTGAGCAAAGCTGGTATGGTGTGTGTCAAAGCAGAGTTTATGATCCTGGCATTAGGATGGATAGAGGAGATTGTTGCAGTTAAGTTGGTTCCTAAGAATGGTAAGAAGAAAAGAGCGACAATAATCAAGTGAGAAGTACAAGTTTTCAATGGTTTGAGTCGTTCCTCTCTTGATGCAATCCTGCTCAGTGCTATGGCAATGCAAACATATGTCAGTGATATCAATATAAGAGGAATACAAACCATTATACCTACAACAAAATATCCCATTATGTAATTTAAGGATGTGTCATTACAAGCCAAACTAAATGTTGGTCCGTGATCACAGAAAAAGCTTTGTATCTCCAAAGAACCACAGAAATAGAGACGATCTATTAAGCCAACCATGCATGCTATTACACTTAATACAAAAACCCACACAAACAGCAGCACTGCAGTAATAGCTGGTTTGTTCACAATACTATGATACCTTAAAGGGAAGCAAATTGCTATAAATCTATCATATGCCATAATCACAAGTGTCCATGACTGCACACATCCAAAGAACAAAACAAAGAACATGTAACTCAAACAAGTCTCATAGACGATATATCTCCTGTCAAACAAAAATATGTCCAAGACCTTTGGGATGAGAGCAGTGCTCCCACACAAATCTGTCAAAGCCAGGTTGAACACAATCATGTATTTAGGAGTATGAAGAGTCTTGTCCAGGTAAATCACTAAGAGGAGGAGGCCATTCCCAAGAACAGTCATGATATAGACAAAACACAGAAACACATAAAAATACTGAGCATGAGGGACTTCGGAAAACCCACTGAGATAGAATTTCACAGAGTGAACAAATGTGGCATTGAATGTGGTAGCAGCTTTCTGTTCTGCGTTCATTATTTCTTTCACTAGGTGTCAAAAAAACAACAATATTTAATGAAGGATTGCACAGCTGACTGATGGGAACTATTGTAACTAAACTCACCTCAGACGACATCTAGTTCACAGTTCCCTAACGTGAGCTGTGCTGTGAGAGAAGTGTTATTTATACTTCTCTGTCGTTGTGAGACAGTGGAAGTGCAGGTGGCTGTCGCATGATCCTAAAATAGACACAGTTCAATGTGTAACTGTTTCATTCTTTATGCCATCTATCTGCTGATGTAATAAACTCAATCAGCTATTTTCACCAGGGTAGTTAAGTTTTAGTTAACGGCACAGTGTAGAAGCAGTACCAAGATGAGAACCAGTGCCAGGTATAAAGTATATTTAGTGACTGTAAAAAAAGATGAAATGACTACACCCTAAAAGTTACAGTTTTACCATTGTTATGTTGCAGTGTAGGCTCTTTATAAATGAACTTTTTTTTAGAGATTTACAACCTTTTAAAATGTAGACCTATTAATTCACAATATTTTCAAAAGTAGCCTGGAGCCACAGTGGAAACAATGCTCCCCACTGATACAAATTAGATAATTTTACACCAGCAGTGCTGCTGGGTACCAGCCTTGTCAGGGCAAATGCTCACTGACTGAAAGCAGTGTAAGAAAAAAAAAAATTATGATATAGAAAATAGCTGAATATGTAGCCACCAAAATTAGTGTGGGGGGGGGGGGGGGGGTTACAAAAAAAATGCAAGAGAAAATGTGTACTTCTCTTTAAAGCTACAATATGTAACATTTGAAAAACAAGCTAGCGTTAGCATGAGAGTAAAATTGATTGCGTCTGCCCTGCCCAGCCCTTCCTATCCCTGCTCTGGTCTGCTCCATCAAGCCAGTCACACTGAGCCACAGTTCCAAGATAAAATCACCAAGGACAACATTCAGCTGGTGGGCATTAAAATAATGTAACTCGCCAAGCTGACTGCCCTGCTTCATGTCTACTGTAAAATCATTAAAAAAAAAAAAAAATCTGCAAAGCCGGTAAAAAAACTCCTCTCTACATCAGTCTATTAGCTTTGCAAAGTCTCCTGATAGAAGTCAACACCTCTTCTGTCTTTAAGGTGTATATAAATGGATTGAGCAAAGCTGGTATGGTGTGTGTCAAAGCAGAGTTTATGATCCTGGCATTAGGATGGATAGAGGAGATTGTTGCAGTTAGGTTGGTTCCTAAGACTGGCAAGAAGAAAATAGCCACAAGAAACAAGTGAGTAGTACAAGTTTTCAATGGTTTGAGTCGTTCCTGTCCTGATGCAATCCTGCTCAGTGCTATGGCAATGCAAATATATGTCAATGATATCAATACAAGAGGAATACAGACAACTATAGCTACCACAAAAAGTCCCATTATGTAATTTAAGGACGTGTCATTACAGGCCAAACGAAATGTTGGTCCATGATCACAGAAAAAACTTTGTATCTCCAAAGAACCACAGAAATAGAGACGATCTATTAAGCCAACCATGCATGCTATTACACTTAATACAAAAACCCACACAAACAGCAGCACTGCAGTAATAGCTGGTTTGTTCACAATACTATGATACCTTAAAGGGAAGCAAATTGCTATAAATCTATCATATGCCATAATCACAAGTGTCCATGACTGCACACATCCAAAGAACAAAACAAAGAACATGTAACTCAAACAAGTCTCATAGACGATATATCTCCTGTCAAACAAAAATATGTCCAAGGCCTTTGGGATGAGAGCAGTGCTCCCACACAAATCTGTCAAAGCCAGGTTGAACACAGTCATGTATTTAGGAGTATGAAGAGTCTTGTCCAGGTAAATCACTGAGAGGAGGAGGCCATTCCCAAGAACAGTCATGATATAGACAAAACACAGGAAGACATAGAAATATTTAACATGAGGGATGTCAGTAAACCCACTGAGATAGAATTTTACAGGGCGAACAAATGTGGCATTGAATGTGGTAGCAGCTTTCTGTTCTGCGTTCATTATTTCTTCCACTAGGTGTCAAAAGAACAAGCAATATTTAATGAAGGATTGCACAGCTAACTGATGGGAACTATTGTAACTAAACTCACCTCAGACGACATCTAGTTCACAGTTCCCTAAAGTGAGCTGTGCTGTGAGAGAAGTGTTATTTATATTTCTCTGTCGTTGTGAGACAGGGGAAGTGCAAGTGGCTGTCACATGATCCTAAAATAGACACAGTTCAATGTGTAACTGTTTCATTCTTTATGCCATCTATCTGCTGATGTAATAAACTCAATCAGCTATTTTCACCAGGGTAGTTAAGTTTTAGTTAACGGCACAGTGTAGAAGCAGTACCAAGATGAGAACCAGTGCCAGGTATAAAGTATATTTAGTGACTGTAAAAAAAGATGAAATGACTACACCCTAAAATTTACAGCTTTACCAATGTTATGTTGCAGTGTAGGCTATCTAAATTTTCTTACTTTCTTTTCTTCCTTCTCTTCAAAACTCTTTTCTTGCCATTCCTGTTATAGCAACAGCAATTGTATTTTTATAGCACTTTTTTTTAAAACAAATGTTGCTTAACAAAATGCAAAACTAAAATCATATAACATAGCACAATGAGATGTTAAAACACACAACAAACAAGCGCTGCAATTTAGCATGATAATACCTACCAAAAACTATAGAAATCACCTCTGAGAAAAATGTATTTGATTTGCACTTTAGGTGTTTATTTTGGCTCATGTCCCATCCACTAACATAGAGGGGGCGGGATATATGATCTATACTGCAACTAGCCACCAGGGAGCAATTGATTCACATTGGCTTCACTTCTAGGAGCCACCATGGCATCTATATTTATATACAGTCAGTGGTGTGTATACATATGCAGACAACAGAATTACCAGTTTGAAAGGCTTACAACCACAATGTAAATGATCACTTGATCAATCATGTCTTGTCAGTGTCATGGCTGGGTATAAAAAGAGCATCCCAGAGAAGCTGAGTCTTTCAGACGTAAGGATGCTGCCTTTCACACAGTGAAAGCAAATACATAGCTCAACAATTTAAAGAATAATGTTTCTCAATGAAAACTGCAAATTTAGAGCTTTTGAAAGATTCAGAGAATTTGAAGAAATCTCTGTAAACAAGGGTCAAGGCTGAAAACTAGTATTGAATGGTGGTGATCTTGGGGACCTCAGGTGACACTGCATTAAAAACTGACTTGATTCTGTAGTGAAAATCATTGCATGGGCTTAGCAACACCTCTGAAAACCACCATCAGTGAGCACGGTTCTTTGCTACATCCACAAAACATATAAGAACAAGATCCAGTGGCATTTCCACCTTCTCTTGGCAGAAGCTCATTTAAGATGCATTGAGGCAGATTAAACGGCCATTCAGATGTCTTTTTCAGAGAACATTGAGGCAGATTAAAAAACTACAGTGGTCTGTAGTGTGAAAATCTGAAAATCTTTTTCATATAGAAGCTGCACTCTGCAGGTTAAAGAGTTCAAAAGCCAGCACAGAGTGGTGGCATGGAGATGCATTAGTGCACACTACTGTACATGAGTAGCACATCTCTGAAGGCAGCATTCATGCTGATTGATATATACAGGTTTTGGAGCAAATAAACACGGCCATTCAGATGTCTTTTTCAGAGAAGGCCTTGCTTATTTCAGCAAGACAATGCCGAACCACATTCTGCACATATTTCAACAGCAAGGCTCTGTAGTTAAAGAGTATGGGGGCCCAGTTCATTCAAAACAAATAAGAAATTTTATTTTAATTTATTTTATATGAATGTATAAAGTATCTGACAGACCATCTTAATGACTGGATTCATGTAATCTATTTAGCACAAGTCTACAGGGCAAAGGTGGGTGGTACAAACTAAAAAGTATATCACAATAATTAATTACAAATAGTGCCATTCAACAAAGTGTTTTAAGCCACAAGTCACCTCAGGATTCAGTCTGTGCAAACAAATAGTCACCCAGAGAGTTTAGCCTGATCATCTCTAAGTAGGCAAAAAAAATTAGAATATGACTTTTCTATTCACAAGTCCACCCTTGTCAACAGTTTTTGGGATCATGTCTTTGGCTGAACAAAATGTCTCCAGCGCAGTTCATTGCAGCATTGACCTCTTTTGGAAAACCACTGGCAAATGTGCAGCAAATACCCTTCTGCACCAAAGGAGTTCTCTTACTTGTTGTCGGTATAACATCTGGCGTGTTCTCCTTGTGCAACATGTGGCTTTTTTTTTTTTTTTGTATTCTGGTTGGTGCACATTGAGAGCTGTTGTTCCAGAGTCAAATTCCTCGTGTGTCCAATGCACCTGGCCAATAAAGAGTCTGATTCTGATTTTTGTTTGAGGTGGTGGCACAAATTTGATGTGATGCCATCCTTTTTAGTATGGGTTAATAAATCACTGTGGAAAATAATGTGAAAGAAGTCACTCTTGCTGATGAAAGTAGAGGATTATCATACAGTAGATATATAATGGATAGCAGCAGCTAGTGAATACATATAAATATATATATATTACTGTCTGGGTTTAAATTTGCCATTCTCAAACAAATGGAAAGTATGTTAAATTAAATCACTATAGTCTATTGTAGTTAATAAAATGGTTTTGATTTCACTAAATCTTCTAAAATAACTTCTTATTACTGGAATTTTTGTACATTAGTGTTATGTTAATGATTAAATAGGTCTAATGTTTGTACAGTTTGTTTTACTGTAATGCAAATGATGCCAAACACAGAAGGTCCAAAACATCAACAAAGACATTATTTCTACATTCTTACTGCAATTATGGAATGCTTTCTGATTTTAAACAACTTTTTTTTACAGATTCTTTGGTTTCTTTTGTCTGCAGAACATAAATGATCGGGTTCAGTGACGGGGGAAGCACAGAATGCAAAGACAGATTTATGATCATGGCATTTGGATGTAGAACTCCTGCAGAAGTAACAGCTATTATTATTGGAAAGAAAAAGATTGTCACTAATGAAAGATGAGCTGTGCAGGTTTTAAAAGCCTTCACTCTCTCATGAACTGTGGCCACTTTAGTCAAAGCATAGCTGATATATACGTAAGTAAACATGATGAATATCAGCCGAAGCCCTAGATAAAAAACTGTTAACAAAACACTATTGGGTTTGCTTTAGTCAAAGCAAACCCAATATATAAGTAAGTAAAAAGTATGAATACCATTGGAAGGCCAAGAATAAGAACTGTTAACAAAACACTAGGAATGGAGCTGGGTGTTATATCATCACAAGCCAGTCTGTATATCTGACCATAGTCACAGAAATAACTGTCAATAACCACAGACCTACAAAAGGAAAGTCTTGTGAGAAGGCCAGCTCCAGTCAGTATGGTAGTAATGGCAAGGAGCCAGAAAGAGGCGATTAAAGTAAACATGAACCTGTGGGTCACCTTCACATGATAGTGCAGTGGGAAGATGATGGCTATCATTCTGTCATAGGCAAGTGCAACCAGGTTAAGAGCCTGCATTGAAATGCAGGCGGAACAGAAAAACATGAATGTCAAGCAGTCATTGTAGGAGATGTAGGGATGGTCAAACAGGAAAATGTCAAGAACCTTTGGCAACAAAGCAGAGCTACCAACCAGGTCTGTAAATGCTAGGTTAAAAACTGCAATATATTTTGGAGTTCTCAGTGTATGATCCAAGCATATTATTAACATCACAACTGTGTTTCCCATCACTGAAACTATAAACAGTAAAAAGAGAAAGACATAATAATACTTGACATTTGGGATGCCAGAAAAACCACTTATTATAAAATATGCAGGACAAACAAAGCTGTTGTTCTTGTCAAGATCTGAGTTGACAAAGTTCACTGTAAAACTTGTCTGACTTCTTGTTTGTCGGCCTCTTGCTTGTTTTCCTGCTGCTTGTTCTGCTTACTGATGTGTTCTCTGTCAGCAGCACAGTCATAAATGTAGACAGATGTCCTCTTTGCTGTGTCTGTATCCTGTTGTCTTTGTGACTATAAAGCTGTGGAAAGCTTTAACTGGTCTGACAGGAGTGGCTAAAAAGAGGAGCAGCTTTCATCTGAGTTCATGACTAATAGGGTCAATGTCTGATCCCCTGTGGCTCTTCGATGTATGCCACTCAGCATCAAACACTTTTTCAGTACAGTAATCTCAATGGTACTCATTTGCAGTACCTAACATGTTCTCAGATACGCATATCAAATGGGAGAGTATGCGTTATCTACAGTATGTATCAGAGATTTGTATAGTTTTAAATTTACACAATGTATTTTCATAACTGAAAAACACATTGTCTCCAGATCTAACGTTAATCAAACTGTGTTCATGTGCTGAACAACATCACCAGTGTTATAAGTTAATTGTTCACAATTGTTAAACATCTACAAGCTTGAAGTTCATCTTACAAACATTAACTGCTATGCAATTCGCAAGAACATTCTTTAGATGCTGCTATATAAAATGTTAACGTTGCTGAAATTATGTTTTCATCTTATTTTCTGCATGAACTCAGTGATTACGCTGATCAATAGAAGTGAGGATACCCAGATAATCTATAATGTATTAAATGTGAAAACAATGTGAAAGATTACTCTTAGTTATGAGAACAGAGGATAATCACAGATACTCTACACATTAGATACTGTAGTTAAGAACTAGCTTTTGAGTACAGTTGAGGAATTAGCAACTAAAGGGAAATGTATTGCCCTCAGGACCTAGTGAATAGTGAAGCTACACTTGCCAAGTGACCACTAACATGTTACAAAATGAATCACATAATCACCTTTATTTGGCCAAGTATGTTACACACACAAGGAATTTGTTTTCGGTACAGAACCGAGGTAGCCATCTGCAGCGCCAAGTCACACCGATGGCTCTAACCACTGGGGCAACTTGGGGGTTCAGTGTCTTGCCCAAGGACATGTTGATTGCAGGCACCAAGAATCAAACCTAGGAGATGACTGCTCTACCCACTGAATCACAGTCAGATCACAATGTTTTGCTGCAACTGCTGAATTTCTAAATAAGTATATGTTTCAAAAGTTTGCCACATCAACTTTAAGATGGTTGTTGTGTTTAAATAAACAGTCCAGTCCTCCTGCTGTCATTACAATTTTAAAAGCATTGTTTTCTATAAATTTAACTGAAGACAACACAGCACATAAATATTGACAATTCATTTAGCTGTACTTTTAATTGTTGCAAAAACAAATAAGCTTGAGCTGAATGAAAAATGGTTAAAGAATATAAAACATTTCCCGTTATAAGTACCTTCAAAAAGTGTATCAAAGCATGCTGTAATTACACTGCAGTAAGGAGTAAAGAGACGTAAGATCACATTTGGCCTAAGGTTTTTTTTAAAAAAGCCACTTTGAATAAACAGGTCAAAACATTTTAGCTATTTGACTATGTTAATCTCACAAAATCTCAGAAAATAAAAATTCTGATCCAGAGTGGATGGAGAGGTTTGATGCATTGTTGAGTCTAAAGAATGCAGTACAAATTCACAGAGCAGAGGTGCAAAAAAAAGAACAGGACGCCTCTCTTTGTTTCCACTTTATAATGTGACATATTCATGGCCATAAATGCAGATTGTAACAGTTTGCTTAGTTTAAGTTATACAATAAATGCAAAATAATTTTCTAGATGAAAAAGTGCCAAATACACTCATTTGTGTGAAATGTCACCAAACACAATGACCAACTATATATACGTTTTTGTTATGTTAAGATTAATATAGATCAGAAAGTTATTTTACTATAATGCAAATGATGCCAAATACAAGAATCTTAAACATATCAAAAAATATTCACATTATTCTTACACATGTACTGCAATTTTTGACTGCCGTCTGATTTTAAACAACTTTTTTACAGATTCTTTGATTTCTTGTGTCTGCAGAACATAAATGATTGGGTTCAGTGTGGGAGGAAACACAGAGGTCAGAGACAGATTTATGATCCTGGCATTTGGATTTAAATTTCCCATTGAATTACTTGCAATTATTACTGGAAGGAAAAAGACTGCCACTAATGAAAGATGAGCAGTGCAGGTTTTAAAAGCCTTCACTCTCTCATGAACTGTGGCCACTTTAGTTAAAGCATAGCCGATATATAAGTAAGTAAACACAATAAAAACCAGTGGAAGCCAAAGATTAAGAACTGTTGACAGAATGCTAACGATGATACTACGTGTTTTGTCATCACAAGCCAGACGATATATCTGACCATAGTCACAGAAATAACTGTTAATAACCACAGAATTACAGTAGGAATGTCTTGTGAGAAGGCCGACTGCAATAACTGCAAAAGTAATAGCATAGAGCCAGAAAGAGGCGATCAAAGAAAACATGAACCTGTGGGTCACCTTCACATGATAATGCAGTGGGAAGATGATGGCTATCAGTCTGTCATAAGAGAGTGCAACCAGGTTAAATGACTGCATCACAATGCAGGTATAGTAGAAAAAGAGAAGTGTGAAGCAGTCATTGTAGGAGATGTAGGGATGGTCAAACAGGAAAATGTCAAGAACCTTTGGCAACAAAGCAGTACCTTCAAACAGGTCCACAAATGCTAGATTAAAAACTGCAATATATTTTGGAGTTCTCAGAGTATGGTCAACACATATTATTACCATCACAACTGTGTTTCCCAGCACTGAAACAATATAAAGTAAAAAAAGAAAGACATAATAATACTTGATATCTGGAAATCCAGAAAACGCACTTATTATAAAATATGCAGGACGAACAAAGGTGATGTTTGTCCCAAAAGCTGAGTTGAAAAAATTCATTGTAAAACCTTTCCTGTCCACAGCACGGTGATAAATGTAGACAGGCGCCCTCTTTATTGTGTCTGTATCCTTTTCTCTTTGTGAAGCTCTGTGAAGTTTTAACTACTCTGACTGGAGTGGCTAATAAGAGGATCGGTCCTCCTCTCAGTTCATAACAAATGGGATCATTACCTGATCCCCTGTAGATATTCTGTGTCTGCTGTCTGCTACCTTTTCCAACCTCAGTGGCACTCATTCAACCTACTTATGAAATTCTCAGATACATGTATCAACTAGAAACCTATGCAGTATCCACAATATAAGTATAGCACAAGTTGTTTTAATTTTATGGCATTGGGTTAAATGCTCAAAGCAAGAGCTTAATTCCTGTACTACATACATACGTGTTAATTATGGGGTACCTAAAATTTATAACACAGTAATGAAGGAGAAACTAATTAAGAGCCCTGAAATAAAGTGATACCAGTTTTGATTTATGAGTTATCTGACCTGTTCCCTAAAACACTGAGTATGCATTGGGCAGTCTTCATTCTGACTGTAAAATAAAGTGCTCCAAAACTTTAGATGACTGGTCATCCACCTTTCTCAACTGTAACCATGCTCAATACTATCCAATGCCGTTTTTTTAATGTTTTGATATGCCTCATTGACGTGGTCACCATCGCTGACCCAGCCGTCTCACACAGCTATGACTAGACCCAACTAATCGATAATTGAATTAGTTGCTGAGTAATGTTATCAGTTTTATTGATTAGTTGCTGCAGCCCAAGTTCAAACTGTCACACATCAGTACAGGGGAAAATGCACAGCATTTCAGCTGTGATTTCATCAATGTAGTGCTGCAGTTTTATGTTTATATCCTTTTAAATTTTCTCAAACAATGAGTGTCAGTGGTTTATTAGCAATAGGTGTGCCAAGGGTAGTTGTGATCAAATATGTCCTCAGATTGTACGATTTTCAGAGGTAAATCTGAGGACAACTCTGACTTCAGGTTATTACTTGACATACTGTAGCTGACTGACTGACTGAGTGCAACCAGATTAAGAGCCTGCACTGAAAGGCAGGTATAACAAAAAACATGAATGCAGCATTAAACATGAGTATATGTTGAAGTGCTCTATATAAAATTCACAGTTTGCGGTGGATTTAGGAGAGTAAGTATTCAAAGCAGATTTTAGTGAAAACACAAATTTTGTTGGGAAACAATCATGGTGAGAGATGGTTACAATTTTAGTGACATTGCATTTCACAAGTAAAGACCTCTTCAGAGACACTGGATCTAATTGTCTTCCGAGTAACTGTACTCCAAAATGAGGGTGGTGAACAGTTGATAAAATCAACTTTTGTACCAGTTTGTGATTATGGTGACTTTATTTACATGTACAGTATTTGCCAAATGTCTACACTATATTGCCTACACTTATCTTCACACGTAAATTAATGTTGTGTTTAAATTCCACTGTCAAATATTTGTTCTTGTGAAGTTGTTTTCTCTTAGCCATGGAAAAAAATGAAATGACTCACACTGGACTACCCTGTATATATAAAGGGTGAATGAATGATCATTCAATAATTTTATCTCAAAACAAAAAGTTTAAAGATTCATATGAAGCTTATTATCATGTGTTTCTTTGGACATACCATTCTCACACAAACAGGAACCACAATATTACTGTGGAGTACAGTAGTTACTGTTGTATTGTGCTTTCATTAAAATGGTTTGGACTAAAACAACTTTTATTTTATTACTAGACAGAAATGCAATTTATATAAATTTGTATGTTGCTAGGGTTGAACTGCCCCTGGTAGGCTAGTGGTTAAGGTGCAACACTCTCGCCTCTGCGGCCAGGGTTCAAGTCAGGGTTGTGTCAGGAAGGGCATCCAGCGTAAAACACATGCCAGACGTCAACATGCGAGTCGTCACTGTGACGATTGGCTGTGACAAACCCTAAACGGGAAAAGCTGAAAGTGTCTTTACTTTACTTTTATGTTGCTAGGGTTGAAATAAACCTAATATTTGTAATGGTCATTTTCCTGTAATGCAAATTATACCAAATACAAAAGGCCCAAAACATTAATAAACACTTGAATTACCATTACATTTTTATTGCAATTTTGGACTGTACTCTTATTAGAAACAACTTTTTTACAGATTCTTTGATTTCTTGTGTTTGCAGAACATAAATGACTGGGTTCATTGTGGAAGGGAAGACAGAGGTCAGACACAAACAAATAATCCTGGCATTTGGATGCAAGTTTCCCAGTGACGCAAAGGCTATTATTACTGGGAAGAAATAAATGGCCACTAATAGCAGGTGAGCAGTGCAGGTTTTAAAAGCCTTCACTCTCTCATGAACTGTGGCCACTTTAGTCAGAGCATAGCTGATATGTACGTAAGTAAACAAAATGAAAACCAGTGGAAGCCAAACAATAAGAAACGGTAGCAAAAAACTAAGGACCAAGTCAG